GGCAGAATGTTGTGAGGAGTGACTTAGATTCCTTAACTCTTCTCCCTAATTCTTGAGCGTGTGAGCTGAGTTCCCTGTGCAGTGTTGGGACACAAGGAGCTGCTCCACGAGCTTCAGAGCTAGGCTCAGCTGGTCTCCAGAGCTCTGCAAACCCACTCCCCGTGCCCGGGGCCACCCAGCAGTGACCATTCCACTGTTCTCCCAGCAGCACAGCGACTCGGACTCAGAGCCAGAGTTCTCCTCCCTGTCTCCCTCCATCCCGAGTGCCATCCCCGTGACCGGAGAGTCCTACTGCAACTGTGAGAACCAGAGCGAGGCTCCATTCTGCTCTGGCCTGCACGCCCTGCACCGCCTCAAGGACTGCCGCTGCGGCGAGGAGGACGAGTGTGAGGAGCTGCCTAGCACCCCAGGGCTGGGGCAGGGACAGTACCCTGCCCTGCTCCTGGCTCCGTCCCGGCCCCTGGTGCTCCTTTGTTTACGGCCCGAGCCACGTAGGAGGATTACCAGCCTGGCCTGGGTGGTGTTTGCAGGGCTCAGTGCCGAGCGTCAGAGCTCACCTCTGGGGACCTGCTTTGTGATCCAGCTTAGGCCAGCAGTGAAACAGGCCCTGGTGCTTACAGCCTTCCCCAGCCCTGGAGGGGCTGCCAGGGTGCCTGGCCACAGGGTGGGCACGGGCTGGCTGGGATAGCCTGGGGACATGGCAGAGCTGCCGCGAGGGACAAGGGAGGCTCTGGTGGGTCTGCAGAGCCTTGTGTTGGCCAAACTGGGCACTGGTGAGTGCTGCTGACTTGGGAGCACTGAGCCATCCCTGGTGGGACACTGGAATAGCTCAGGCCTCAAACAGCTCTCTGATGTGCACAGCTCGAGATTTACACTCTGCCTTGGGCACTGGGATATTGCCCAGGGAGGTGGTGGAGTCACCATCCCTGGAAATGTTTAAGAGGTATCTGGTGCTGGAAGATGCGGTTTAGGGGTTACATACAGCACAGCAACAGGGTAAAGGTTGAACTTGATGATCTTAAAGGTCTCTTCAACCTTGATTCTATGAACGATAGAAAAATATGAATCAAAACTCCAACATGGCCTTAAACCAAATGTCCACCTGTGCTTCCACTCCCTGAGGGCCTGTGCCCATCCTTGTCACTCTGTGCTTCCTTGACAGATTTTGACTGGGTGTGGGATGACCTGAACAAGTCCACGGCCACCCTGCTGACCTGTGACAACCGCAAGGTGAACTTTCACATGGAGTACAGCTGTGGCACCGCGGCCATCCGCGGCAACAAGGAGCTGGCCGAGGGGCAGCACTTCTGGGAGATCAAGATGACCTCCCCAGTGTATGGCACTGACATGGTACGTGCAGCTCAGTGGCTTTGGGCACGTGGAATTGTCCAGGGTCTGGCAGGGTGAGGTACTGCCCAGCACAGGAGGTGAGGTTTGAGGCTGGCTGAGGAACCTGGAGGTGCACAAGTCCATGGGACGTGCTGAGATGTATCCCTGGGGCCTGAGGGAGATGGTAGATGAGGTGGCTAAGCCACTACCCATTGTGTTTGAGAAGTCATGAGAGTCTTGTGACGTTCCCAGAGACTGGAAAAGGGGAAGCATTACTCCTATTTTTAAAAAGGTCCCTTCCCACCCTAACCATTCCATGATTCTGTGAACAGGAGAGTGACCTTCTCTAGCAGTTCAGCTGTGCCTCCTACCCAGGAAAGGAAATTGGAGCTGGGAGCCTGCAGCTTCCTCCTGAAACCTCTGATTTGGCTGCACCAAACCCTCGGGGGTGTTTTGAGCTGAGCCAGTAAAGGAGGGAGCTGGAGGAGGAATCTTGCTTGAAAAGACTAAGCTGGTGTTTCTTGTGGCCTTGCCCCCAGATGGTGGGAATTGGGACGTCGGATGTGAACCTGGACAAGTACCGGCACACCTTCTGCAGCCTGCTGGGCAAGGACGAGGACAGCTGGGGACTGTCCTACACAGGTGACAAGGCAGGGGCTGGGTGGGCAGCAGTGCACAGGCAGTTCCTCAGGGTGTTGAGGCCACCAGACCTGTGAGTCCCTTGGCTGAGGTCAGCTGGAGTGGCTGCCAACAGCCCACGGCACTTGGAGCATCTCTCCTTGCCCAGGGCTTGCTTGGCCCTTAGGCTGGTGTGGGACCTCCAGGGCCCCTGAGCTGCTGCTGTCACACCACCAGTTTGGGGTCTCAGTGCTGCAAAACCTCAACCTTTCCACGGGCCCCTCTGGGATGGGAGGGCAGGGATCAGGAACTGGAGGATATTGTAGGCATGGAGTGGGAACTGGCAGTGTGGGAGTGGGGAAGAACCCACAGAGCACAGCTTTTCCATGAAGTGCCATTTTTGTGTGCTTTAAGGACTGCTGCACCACAAGGGAGACAAAACAAACTTCTCCTCAAGGTTTGGCCAAGGCTCCATCATTGGGGTCCACCTGGACACGTGGCATGGGACACTCACCTTCTTTAAGAACCGCAAGTGCATAGGTGAGGGTGAGGGCAGGGGTGGGCTGGGCTGAATTCCCAGTCTGGCTGGAGGGGAAAGCACTGGGGAAGGAGAAGACCAAGGTGTGAAGCAAGTGGGAGGAAGGTTCCATGTTGTTAATAGATTGGGATTTGGAAAGGCTGTTTTCCCACAGCTTGGCAGTTACGGGTTCAGAGTTGAGGGGAGGGGCAAGATCCCCTCAGAGAACTGACTGGTGCTGTGCCCTGGCAGGAGTTGCAGCCACCAAGCTGCAGAACAAGAAGTTTTACCCCATGGTGTGCTCGACAGCAGCCAAGAGCAGCATGAAGGTGATCCGGTCCTGCGCCAGCTGCACCTCCCTGCAGTACCTGTGCTGCTTCCGCCTGCGCCAGCTCCTGCCCGACTACGTGAACACGCTGGAGGTGCTGCCCTTGCCCCCAGGACTCAAGCAGGTGCTGCACAACAAACTGGGGTGGGTCTTGAGCATGAACTATAGCACTTTGAAGCCTTCCTCTTCCTCCTCCTCCTCCTCGGGGAGCGACTCGGACAGCTCTTGCGGCTCGGACGCAGAGGCCTGCCAAAGGAAGAGGTGCAGGAGGACATAGTGGCTCAGCAGAGGAACTGCTGCGAGGGAGGTGGATGGGGTTTGTTCTGCTGTCTGCCAGGGCTGGCCAAGCCTGAGGCACCTCCTCCTTCGTGGGAACGTCTCTTTCTGCTTGTTGGCAAAGATTTTCCTAGTGCTGCTGGGAATCTTTGGCCTCCACATCCATCACAGGCATTGAGAAGAGCTGTTGGCTCCCAGAGGTGCCAAGGCTGACACAGATAAACTGCAGTCAAATTACCTGAGCTTCATCTCCTGACTTGCTATGGAAGCCAGCACCTCTTCCTGAAGGATCCCTCTCCTCCCTGTTGGCACAGACAAGACTTAAGGAGTTGGACTCACTGTGGCTCATGTCCAACTCGGGATATTCTGTGGTCACTAAGGTGACCCTCTGGGTTTCAGTGTGTACTGGATTCCTGTCAGGTAAGACCTGACTCACCAAAGGCCCAGCCAGTGCCAGTGCTGTCCCCATCCTGTGTGCTGTGTGGTGTCTGCATCGAGCTCCTCGTGCCGTGGGACCCGACGGAGCCGCAGTGTGTTGGGACAGGGCCCGGAGCCACTGCTGAGAGCAGGGGCTGAGCTGGGGGGGGCCTTCCTCGAGCCCCCAGTGACTTCCATTGCTTTGCATGTTGGTTCCTGCTGCTTCTCCTCTGCCCAAGACTCTGTTCAACTGTAATAATAAAAGTAGAAGCTGTCTGTTGTTCCTCTCACAGCCCTTGAAGGCAGGAACCTGCAGGTGCTTGTCAGAAACAGCCAGGCCAGCCTGGAGGGGAGGGTTTGGGGGCAGCAGGTGGGTCAGAGCTAGAGGGGGTGAAGGCAGTGATCACCTCAGCTCTGCCCTGTGCAGGGCTCTTTGCTTCCCCCTGAGTGTGGCTGGGATGATGTTCAGCAGAGCCAGAGCTGTGGCTGTGCTGAGACTAACACTCCAAACCCCATCCCAGAGCTGGGAATCCGAGCAACCCCTGCTGAGACTTCCTGGTTGTGCTGAGGGGAAAATGCTGGATTAGGGAAATTAGGGCCTGGGTGAGTGACTAATCCTGTGGTGGCCTAGTGCCAGGGATAGGGACAGGGTCTGTGCTCCTGCAGAGCCAGGGACAGGCCAGTCCCTGCAGGGCCTGCAGTCAGCCCAAGGGCTTCTCCTCAGCCTTTCAGCTCTCCCCTGGTGGCAGCACCTTGGATGAGGATCCAGGGCTCGGTTGGTGCTGTCAGCCCTGCCAATGGGACAGGATTGAAATATGGAGGGGAAGTGGCTCACACAGAACGGAGCAAAGCTGAGGGACAGAGTGTGCTGGATGAGGCACACTGGTGTGGGATGTGATGAGTCCAGCAGGACTCTCTTGTGCAGGTGTTTTGTTATCACCTCTGTCAGCATAGAGAGGTGTCTCGTGACAGCACTTTGATGTTACCCCTTACTGCAGCACCTGGTGGAGAAGTGAGGAGGGAAATATGCCCTCATGCTCCTCAGCCCTGGCCACCAGAGACACCTGGTGAGAGCTGCAGGCATTGCTGGGAGCATTCAGAAAATGAGTGGATGTGGCACTTGACATGTGTTAGTGGGCACAAATCAGTCAAAGGTTGGACTTGGAGATCCTGGAGGTCTTTTCCAACCTTAATGGTTTCTGAAAGCACATGGAGTGGACACATCCCTGGTCTGGGCAGGCAGTGGAGGCAGAAGAAGGCAGGGGAGGGCAGGCAGGCTGGGCTGCCCAGGGCAGCAGCTCTATTTACTCAGCTACAGCAAAGCCTTCTCATCCTTCTTAGCTCCCAGTAAGCTGTGAGCCATAACCCTCTCTGGGTCACACTCTGGCAGGGCAGGAATTTAGTTCAAGGGATATCAAGCAAGGGTTTAGGTGGTGTTTGACCCAGTTTGTGGCTGCTGCAGCATGACCAGGAGCTCTGCTGAGGGAATGTGGGGACACAGGCAGGGCCCTGAGAGAACCACCAGCCTGGGCAGGTGCTGGTGGGCTCGGGAAGGGCAGGCTGGGTTCAGACCCCTCTGAGCCCTCAGGGTCTCAAGAACAAGAGGCTTCAGATGGTGCCACAAAGTTTGCAGTTCCTCTTGGATCCCATTGCCAGCCAGGGTGAAGGAGGATGGAAACCCTCCTCACTTCTCCACCAGCCCTGGCAAAG